GGAAATCAAGAAGTCATTTCATTATGCTAGTTCGCTAATGGCCCATGTATGCATGGCTAAGTAAATAACTTATTCATTCAGTGTTTAGAATACTACACTCTCATAGAGAAGAAATAATTTCCTCATAAGATAATATAGTCTACATTTCAAATCCTGTACATTTCAAAAAGTCTTGTAAATCAGTTGTACATGTTCTCAATCTTTTCTGCAGTCCAGCTGAATCAATACAAATTTCTCCATGCCAAAGTCAATTCATAAAGCAATTTTTTCACTAACTAGATGGATGCTAAGGACCAGGAACAATAAAAGAAACACATGGGGGGCTGGGGATTTAGCTCAGCGGCATAAGCACCTGCTTGCAAGCAGGCAGTCGTGGGTTCAATCCCTGGTACCGATAAAAACAAAAAAGACCAAAAAAAAAAGAAAATTAAAGAAAAAAAAAAAGAAACATATGCTTCAGTTGCTTCTATTAGCAGACAACTACATATATCAGAAAGAGAACAGGATATTTTCCAGTGATATTTCATCATACCATGGGAACCCCCTACACAGAGGCTGAAACAGGACTTGTTTGTGTGAGGAGATAACGATCTCTGAAGATAAAAAACAGAAGAAACATCTTCTGTTACTGAATTTGGTTAACAAGACAGTGTACTCATTTTAAGTAAACATCAACTAGTTACAAAAATTGTAGTGGCAGGGATAATGGAAATGCTCAGTGGTGGAGTGCTTGGTTAAAATGTGCAAGGTCTAGTTTCCACCTCCCATACAGAAAAAAAATGTGGTTCTCATACTACATGAAAGCAGAATAAAAGTTTTCTAGAATCTGTCAGTATTGGTTATCAAAATAATGTGAGTTCTTTAGTCAAATTCCTGTTACTGTCCTAAGAAGTGTACACAAATCCAACTTGAAGAGTTGAAATGCCTTAAATCTGCAAAACTACCCACAGTTTCTAACAAATGTTAATAGACAATACCTTGTTTTAGCCTCTCAGAAACACCATTAGTCAGAACCAACAACTTCATTTTACAAATGATAAAAGCTAAAGCATGGAAATTATAAATATCTGGCCTAAGATCACTCCTCTGGAGCCAACCAAATGTAGAATAAACCATAAGACTCCTCTTACATCCAGGTTTACTATATAATCCAGGTTTTTTTTTTATCTTTTTCCTTTTCATCGGTACCAGGGATCGAACTCACAACTACCTGCTTGCAAGGCAGGCGCTTATGCCGTCAAGCTAAATCCCCAGCCCCACAATCCAGGTTTTTTTTGAGTAGTGAAGAATAATGAGGTATATAAAGATATAACCACATGTAAATACTGAATGTTATGCTTCTAAGTTCTACAGCATTGTTTGTTAACCTACACATTATTATCATTCTTTAGGAAATACAATTAAAATGCCTCACCCCATAAAAAAGAAACATAAGCAAATATCCATAGTAACATTATTCATAATATCCAAAGAGTGGAAACCACCCAAACAGATACTGTTGAATAGATAAACAAATTGCAGTGGTTCTATATAATACTATTCAGCCATAAAAAGTATGGTATATTTATAAAACACAGGTTAACACTAAAAACATAACATTAAAAAAGGAGTAACAAAAGAATCACATATTGTATGACCCCTTTTATTTGAAACACTCAGAATAACAAATATCATGAGTTGATCTCACATACAAATTGAGTGTATAACAGCAGTTAGTAAAGGAGGGAAGAGGAGCAGAAAGGGAAGAATTAAGGTTGAGCAATGTATACTGTTACAGTTAAATAGGAATGAGAAGTTCTGAATATGCCATTGCACGGGATGCTAGTTATAGGTAACAACAATATACTAGGTATTTCAAGAAGCTACAGGGAAGGATCCTGAAAGTTTTTATTGTGAAGATATGATCAGTGTCTGAAGAGATAAATACAATTATCTCAATTTAAACATTATGCAATATATATGTGTATTGAACATTACATGGAACCCATTAACCTGTGCAATTTTGTTTTATGTATCTGTAAAATTAAATTTAAAGCAGCCTATATGTCCATCAACAGATGGATAGAGAAAGAAAATGTGATATTTAACACAACTGAATACTACTCTTGATAAAGAATAAAATTTAGTCATCCATAGGAAAATGGATATAACTTGAGAACACAATGTTAAGTAAAATAAATCACACACACAAACTTAAGTATCACATAATATTTTTACAGAAGAAACCCAAAATATAAATAAAGATCAAAATACAATATAGATAATAAGAGATAGGGAGTTAGATCTTTTTCAAATGGAAAAGCCATCAACAGTTGGAGGGGGTAAGGAAGGTAAAGAAAGGGGATGAAAAAAAGAACTCAGATGTGTTATGTACATGTGCCAACTCCTCACAAAGAATGTAGCTGTTATGTAATACACACTTGTACTAATTAAAAAAACTTGGAAAAATAAAATTAGTATTTTCATGTTTAATTCAAAAAGTAACTTTTAAAACACAAACATTCAAATAGGTAAATCAACAGAGACAGAAAATACACTGGCTATTGTCCAGGATTTGGGGGAGGTTGGAAGAAATGGGCATGACTGCTAATGGGTAAGAGATTTTTATTTGGGTGATGAAAATGTTTTGAATCTGACTGTAGTATGTGGTGGTACACAGCCATTGTGCAGTAATACCTTAATTCTCTGGTGGTATATGAATCATAACTCATTGAAGATTTTTGCTATGTGGTACTAGGAATTGAACACAGGCCCTTTCCACTGAGCTGTATTTCCAGCCCTTTGAATTTTGAGACAATGTCTCTCAAGTTGCTGAATTGCTCATATTGGACTAGAATTTGTGAACCTCCTGCCTTAGCTTCCCAGACTGCTGGGATTACAGTCATGCATTGCGATGCCTGCCTTAAGTTATTAAACCACTTAAAATATACATACAGATAAAATTTTCCAGATAAGTTCTTGGTTCACTGAGGCCCTGAAATTCATCTATAAGTACAGTGGAGCCCAAGGCTCAAGGTTAGTTAATTCTTGCTCTATAGAAACAAGAACCATCACCCTATGTCGGATGAATTGTTTGATTTCAGCTGCTCACATCACCACTACCAAATAAGCCAACGCCTCAAACTTCCAAAAATCACTACTTCAATTATTTATTATATCACATGATCACAGTTTATAGTGAATCCATGTTGATTCACTATAAACAGTTAAATGGTATAAATTCATACTTAAAATATAATTTTAGGACCAGAAAGAATCTTTAGTAATTGATCATCTATTACCTGAAAGGCATGGTTGAAATTCAAAGGTATAGTAGATTCTACCTACAAAGAGCCAAAAACATAACAGGCAAAATAAGATCAACACACAAGTAACAATATACAAAACTGAAGATTTAATACATAAGTGAAGTTTTGCATTAAAAAGGCCACTGAAGCCAGGAGTAATTTAAGAGAAAATTTCATGGCAAAGGTGCTTGTTTAAAACTGTGTTTTACCTTGAAAAACAGGTAGGCCGTGTGTGGTGGACCAAAACTGTTATCCCTGCACTCTACAGATTCATGCAGGATGACCGTTGTGAGTTTTGAGGCCAGCCTGGGCTACAAAGTGAGTTCAAGACCAGCCTGAACTGCATGCACAGCAAAATCCTGCCTCAAGACCAAAGAGAGAGAGAAAGGAGAAGGAAGAGGAAGACAAGAAGGTGGAGAAGAAGAGGAAGAGAAAGAAGGAGAATAAAGAAAAGTAAGTAGGATCCGAACATGAATAGGGAGGATATAGAGTATTCCAGATAAGAGCAGGAGTAAGGATATTTCAGAATACTTCCTAGGAACCATAAGGAGGGGCCTAAATATCAAACCAAGGGTTCAAAACATTATTTGGTAGACTCTGTGAAATCAAAAGAAGTTTGCTGTGAAAAATTACAGAAAAGGAAACAAATTATGAGTCTGTTATAATAGTGTGAGAAAAATTACTAGAATCTGATTTAGGGAGTGGCATTCTGTCAATACAGTACCCATCTTTATCAAGGTATGCCTCACCACTGAAAATAGGTGGTGTTCCAATATACTCATTTAAAGTGCTACCAGTAGGCGTGAGGTACAATGATGCACATCTGTAGTCTCAGTTCCTTGGGAAGCTGACAGGAATGTCACTTGAGCCCAGGAATTTGAGGCCAGCCTAGTCAACACAGCAAGACTCCTTCTCAAAAAGGGAAAAAAAGTGCAACCAATAAAGAAACCAGGGCATGTTCATTATGGTTCATACTTCCTACATTTTACATTAATTTTCTCAAAGCAATTTCAAAATAGCATCTTAATATGAAGTTCAGGCTACAAGGATTTGTGAGAGGTAAAGGAGTGAGGTTCCTTTATCTCTGTTATCTATGTTCTGTAAATTTACAGTAAAACAATCGATAAGAATTCGGTGATACACTTTTATGTGATCATGTAAACATGAAATCCTACATCTTAAACAAAATTATATTTCTGCAGTAGCAAATATTGAAAGGTCAGAGGGACAGTGCAGCACAATAGCATTTCCTTGAAACTGCATTAATTTTATCTGTGAACCTGTGGTGTTTCATGGTAATACAACACTATAGGTAGTAACCATTTCGGAGTATAAATTTACCACGTAGCTAAGCACTGGGCAGAGAGAATAGGGCGTTTGCCTGCTAGAAATGGCTAAGGAATCGATCACTGCTCAACGATACAAATAAAAAGGCCAGGAGGGACCAGGTCTAACTAAAAGGTCTAATCCATAGTCAAAGCGAATTAGGAACTAAGAAACAGTTGGAAGTGCACGTCACATGATTCCCCTGCAATATACCCCCCCCAAAAGGCCCTGCCCTAATCTCTCCAAAGACCATTTCCTCAAGGGCAAGAACACTACTCTTTAGGTTTTTGTTTTGTTTTGTTTTGTTTTTTGTATTTCCAATCCCCACCCACCCCTTGCAGACTCTTCTCTGTCTGGCCTTTCTTTCCCCTTCCGCTCTTGACTTACTTGTCCCGGATGATTGTCTGCAGCTCTCGGATCTGATCATTCATAGGCAGAAGTTTCAACTGCGACCCTATCTTTTGAGAGAATTCGCAGTCCACTAGGAGGGAGTCGCCAGCAGGTGCGTCACAGTTGTTAATCTCATGAATATCGCTGGTGCTCTCAGAGTTAAGGCTCGCGGTGCCACAGGCCTGAGAATCACACTCAGCCGGCAGGCTAGAATGGGCGTGCCCACTGAGAAGAGTCAATTTGGCCACAGCAGCGCTCTTTCCCCCGGTAGGATCCAGGATCCGGTCTCCGGGTCGCAGCAACTCCGGACTTGGGTTTGAGGCAGAGTTTACTTTCTGGTTGTGACAGGGCATGGAGTCTGGATGCTGTAACTCCGTGGCCATGCACCAGGTTCCGGGCTGTTCCCGAGCTAGCAAACTCTGAGAATAAGGGAGAATGGAGATTAACGGCTGATGCTCCTGTGCTTTCTCAGCCTCCCTGTCCCTTTCCCTTTCCTTTCCGCTTCCCCCCTCTCCTCCTCCTCCCATCTCCTTCCCCTTCTACTCCTCCTCTTCTTCGGGTCTTCCTCCTCTTCCTCCAAATCTGTAACCCAGGTTACCCTCTCACCCTTAGGCCGCTAATGGTTCCCTTCCTCAAGGGTTTTCCCACGCCCACCCACTCCAGACGTACTGCTTGCGTAAACATCCTATTGGCCGCTTTCACTGTCAGTCTTCAGCAAGGCTGCTAGTTAACTCTTTAATCCAACCTTGCAGCCTGAATCCCTAGGCTGGTTCTGAAGCGAGGTCAGGGAGAAAGGGGAAACTTTGCCTTGGGCTGTTAAGATAATTAGTAGAGCCAGGAGAAACAGAAAGTATATTACACACCTAAAGCCCACGTTTTCAGATTTTTGTGAGTTGGCAGAGAAGTTATACTTCAGTAACTGCATCTTCAAGATCGCTTGTTACCAAAGGAGGAAGTGAAAACGCCAAAGTAGGCTGCTAAAGAGGCTTCCTGCGAGCAACAGCTTCACAAGTGTGCTTCACCACTAAAACTTCTTATGGTTATTGGTTGGATTCTACAGTATACACGTTATCACGGGGATTATGAGAGCATTTCCGATCCACTATTATTTTTCTTCTTTTAAATACTCGGAAAAATCTGAGGTTAAGAGTGTCTAAGGCAGTGCTTTTCAAACTTTGATGTGTAGAGCTTGTTAAAAAGTAGGTTCTCATGGCTCACCTTTCACATTTTGATTTGTTAAATCTGAAATTACTAAAAATTTCTAAAAATTTTATTTTTAGAAAATAACAGCAATTCTGGCCTTATGTTTTTAGTTTTATTTTTTAGGATCTTAACAGGCTTTATTTTAAAAAGACCTACAGCCTGAAAATCATAAATCTTTTAAATCTGCCAAAATGAACTACTTGGGATACATTTGATAAGCCCTTTGCCCTCTTCTGGATTTGACTTTTCCCATCTATAAAGTGAGATAGATGACTGCCAAATTCTTTCTTTCACATGGAACCTAAGCAACATATGCAAGGATGTAGAGAAATATAAATAACAGGTAAGACTAACCAGACCTTTGGCAGGACTCGAGCCATGGTTTTTGACCTGGCTTTATGTTTTCAATTTTCCTTGTTCGTTGGAATTGGCAGTATTCATGCCCTTTATGTCTGTTTGTACCTCACCCTCCAGTGCTGTACACTATTAGCAGTAGTAATGTAGACAGTTTAAATTTGATTGGATAAGAATTGCAACTGAGACTTGTGATCCCATTTAAAAGCTCATGCATCATTTCATCTAGCACATAATGCAAATGAAAAGGTCTCTCAGCTTAAAAGCTGAAATATCATTATAAGACATTGCAGGACCAAACTCTATTGTAGTTTTGTTCAATGCCTCGTCAGGCATATTATTATAAACAGCAAAGTTAGGTAGAAATATTATAGGCAGTCAGACAGGGATATACCCTTAAAAGAGTCAGTGCAGAAGATGAGAACACATTACAACTATGCCTAGAAGCACATCTGTTGAAGGTCATCCATCAATATAAATATGGAATGACCAGGCCCACATGCCTCCCTGAGGGATAATCAATAAACTGAAGATTACACTTACCTGGTGCAATAAAATCTAGCTAGAAATCAGCCACCCCAGTGGTTGACCAAAACACCCTGATCCATCCCTTTCTAAAAAGGTCTTTGTTCTTTCCATGTACACTTGCTACATGATCTGCTTCCCCATTAGATCAGTATTAACTAGGTAGCTCTATGTTTGTAATCCTGTTAGTCAATGGTAGTTTTGACCTACATTGTAGCCACCTCATGATTTTGCTCTATGAAACTTGCTTTGAGAAGTAGACTCATTGGCAACCCAATTTTGGGTCCCTTCCTGTCTCTCAGAAGCTATTTGTCTCGATAAAACTTTTCCTACTCTTAATTTCCTTTGTTCCTTAGAATTCATTCTTTGATTTTGGGGAACATAAACTAGATATATTGGACATCTAGGAGATTGAGAATTATATTATTTCCCCTACATTAACATAACCTTATACTTTAGGCCACAAAATATGAATTAGTATAGTACAGTTACCTATATATTATGTTTTCCTTCTCATAGTCTCCACTGACATATATATTTACCTATATTAACCAGTAACAATTAACTAGTCTTTAAACTAGGTAATGGGTCTACTAATGCAAAATTCACTAAATATCAATTATAATAAGACCTTAAATTTAGTGTTTCATAACTTACAAAGTGTTATTTCTAAAAGGGATTGAGGATAACCAATCTCCATTTAAAGTCAGTAACTTTGAAATTCTTTTTCTAAAGGGACTTGTCCAAAATCACACATCCAAAAAGAAATTTAGCTTACACAGTCTTTTAAGTCTAAATTCAGTATTCTTTGCACACATCTACAAATTATGAAATAATTCAATTTACAAATATTGACTATTATGGTATATATCTAGATGTCCTCCCAAAGCCTGTGTGCTCATTTGGGGCTTTTCAGAACTGGCTAGATGCAGGGCATATGATGCTGTGATTAAGGGTGTGTGGTATTAAATTAGCCCACTGATTAGAAGTAGCATAATTCTAGGTGTGGATAATGGGAAGGCCCACCCTAGTTGTGAGAGGTAGCACACCCATAGGGCTAAGTCCTGGATGGTATAAAAGGAAAATGGAGACTTGATGTTTTCACTGCTTTGTCGCTTCTGCTTGCTGCTTTGCCATGGATTGTTTCTTGTCTGCAATGCCCTTTCTGCCATGATATCCTGTCTTAGTATCAGCCTACTACAGAGTGAGATCTTTACAAACTGCAAAGTCAAATAAAACTTCTTGCCTTTAACTTGTGAGTGTTGAATATTTTGTCTGAGCAATGAGAAAAGTAACTAAGGTAGAATTTGGTGCTGAGAGTGTCATTGTTGCTGTGACACTATCTGGCCATGTGGATTGGAAGCCTTTGAAAGTGTCTTGTGGGAAGAGTTTGGGAAGGTTTGAAGATGCCGGATGAAGAGGCAACACTGGAATATTGTAAGCCAAATTTGATAGGAGATTCTAGTTTTAGCTCAGAAGAACAGAATGCTGATGGCTGGTAAAAACCAGGCTTAGGAGGCTTCTGTGGTAAGAAGGACTGTTGAACTCCAGATGATGTGTATTATGTTTTGGCAGAAAATTTTTCTGAATTTTCTTCTTGTTCAGAAACTTTGTCTGAGACTGAGGCTAAAGGCAGTGAATAATTAATCTGGCAGACAAAATTTAAAGGCAGTCTATGGTTGGGGGATTTTAGACAGATCTACGTTGATAATCAAAAACAAAGAGCCCAACAGAGGTACTTTGAAAGTTTTTGGTTTGGCCGAAAAGGAAGCACCAATAAAGATACAGCATGCAAATATGGAACAGAGGAGAATTTTACTGCTGAAAAGGAACATGTAGTAGAAAAGATGACCTGATGATACTGTAAGAACCAGCAGGTATCCATGCTTTTCAACCTCAGAATTGCAAAGGTGAAAGACTTTGCTATGAGAAGAAAGCCTCAGGGCACCATATTCCAGAATGGCAATGACCTAGGGAGGTTTTTATTTTTTTCCAAATTTGACACATAGTTCCCAGAAAAACCAATCATTCAACCACTACAGTGAAGACAAAAGGAAGTCTGGCTGCTAACCCAGCTGATAGCATACACATGATGCTGTCATTTGGTCTCATCCACATGATGCTGTTTTTAGGTGCATGCAGAGTGCAACAGTTATGTAGTTAAGAAGAATTCAAACCAGGTTTCAGAAGAAGGCCCGAGAAGCCAGGCAGTTTACCCTTGAACAAGTATTGGATGAAGCCATGGATGTGAATCCAAAGATTCAGTGGAAACTCCGTCAAGTTGGAGAAGACAAGAATATTGATCTTCAGCAAAAGAGTGAGCAAAGCCAACCAAATAGAAAAGCCTTGGAGTTCATATCTTACCACAAATTGCATTTACAGGTCATAATGTTTGCCCTGCTGGATTTTGAACTTTCCTTGGTCCTGTTCTTTTCTAATGCCCTGTTTGTAACTTTTGTAATGGAAATGTTTATCTTGTGCCATTATATGTAGAAAGTTTTTAACTTTCTTTTGATTTGTACAGGGGCTTGCAGCAAAGAATTTGTTTTGCATCTCAGAGAAGTCTTTGAAATTGGACATTCCAGCAATGCTGAAATATAGGACTTTGGAAAATCTTAGAGATGGTCTAAATGCCTTTTTTACTGTTTTTTAAAGAGATTAAGATAAAAGAGGACATACCAAAGCAGATCACACAGAACAATTTAAGCAACGTAGTATTTCTTTTTTTTTTTTTTTTTTTTTTTTTTTTTTTTTTTTTTGTCTTTTTCTTTTTTATCGGTACCGGGGATCGAACTCACAACTGCCTGCTTGCAAGGCAGGTGCTTATGCCACTGAGCTAAATCCCCAGCCCCACAACGTAGTATTTCACCACAAGAAAATCCAATATAACACTAGCTACAATAATGCTTCTTTCCTTGAAATAGTTGAGCATACCTTCATACACAATAGTATCAAACACAACAAAATAGTATAAAACCATTAAAGAGAATGAAAGTATTACAGGACATTCAGAATGAAATAACAGAAAATGAACAATGGTTACTATATTTTATTTGCAGATGACATGGTACTCTACATAGAAGATCCCCAAAACTCCATTGAAAGTCTCCTAGATATAATAAATACATTCAGCAATGTAGCTGGACACAAAATCAATACTCAAAAATCAATAGCATTCCTATACACTAACAAAAAAAATCACTGAGAGAGAAATAAGAGAAGCCACACCCTTCACAGTAGCATCAAAAAAAAAAAATGAAATACTTAGGAATTAATCTCTCAAGTCATCTTGTGGTGAAACGCTATGTTGCTTAAATTGTTCTGTTCTGACCTGTATTGCTATGTTGTTATGTCCTCTTTTATCTCAATCTCCCCCTTTGTTAAATTTATTTTTTATTATTTTTTTAATTAAGGGAATTTTTTTTAATTAGCAGGGTATATTATAGTAACTTTTTTGATTTCCTATTAACTCAATTTGAAGCCCTGTATTGCTCTCACCATCTTGTTTTGACTGATTTTACTCTGTTCTGTTCTGTTTGATAGTATCAAGTTTGAGGTTATAGGCAACTACTTTGAAG